CATTTAAACCACACAACAACTCTAGAAGCTAGATATTAAATATTGTTATTAGCCATAATTTACAGGTAAAGAAACGGGGGCACAGAAAGGTTAAGCAACTTACAGTCATGCAGGGTGGTAGAAACAGGGTTTACCCACATAGCTTGATGCCAGAGCCTTCATGCCACACCGCTACACTGTGCAGCCTTCACCGGGGCGGGTGGTGGTGACTTAGCAAAGAGAAGTCATTCCACCTGGCACTGTTCTGCAGGAAGTGCCAGGAAGTACTGACATGTGATGTCACTGCCTTATGCGATCCCATCCAGAGAGCACGAACCTTCCACCCTGTCATCGATTGCCACATGTGCCAAGTGTTGCATGCGATGAAGGCCCAGGTTTATGACGTCACTGCTCTAGGAACATTATTGGCCTCAAAAAAGGCTGCTTGGTCAGTCTCTGTGGGAGTGTTTGGTGCTGGGGAACCAGAATCAGAGGATGTCACCCTTCTGGAAGCAGGGTAATTGAGGGCTAGCATTATGGAGGAAGAGGGGTGGAGTAAAGCTATCAACAAGCTCACAATAGCTCTAGGATAAAAATAATAAGGGTTACAATTTATTGAAAAACCCCTATACAGCTAACAGTAGACCAAATGGTTTCAAAATGTAGTTTCAGGTCATTTCACAACCCTGTCATGAAATTATTCTTATTTCCATTTTATGGATGGAGAGCATGAGGCTCAAAGAAGTTAAGTAAATGGACCAAGATCATTAAAACAAACAGAAGTGGGATTGAAAGGCAGGCCTTTCTGACTCAAGGTCGTGTCCTGAGTTCCTGTCCAATTCTGCTTTCCTCACGTGTGTTCATACTCAACAAAGTCTGATGCCTGTCGGTAAAACAATGTTTAAAGTCTCCACCATGTATTGGCCACTTAAATGGCTCTGTCACTTTTCCTCAAGGAAGAAGGGCTGGGGCAGGAAGAAGATCAGATGGTACTTCGCCAACCATTCACGCTGTTTGGAAGCAGCTCAAGCAGAGTGCTGTGGTGACAGCTGGCGACAGAGCATGGGGAAGAACACAGGCCAGTGTGGCCCATGCTCCACCACGTCCCTCCACTCCACCCGTTCAGTCCACGTCCCTGACAGGCACCACTGAGCTCCTGCACCATGCCCACCAAATGCCCTTCTCCTTTGTGCTCCTCCCTCACTGTCTCCTTCTTCCTCTTCCTAGACAGGCAGGCCGACCCTTGTTTTCACTACTGAGTCGGCAGCTCAGGGCAACTGCCAGATATTAGAGGCGGACTTGCAAACAATAGCAAATACATAAAAAGAACACCTCTCTTGTTTCCATGCTAAGGAATTGGGCAGAATGATACAGATCTCAAATATTCTTAAAAGCAGGAAAAGGATGTGGCCTTAGGGAAAGGCCCTTCCACTCTCCATGCCTGGTGGGTCTTACAGTGAGCCTTGGGGAGATTAAATGAGTCGGTAAATGTGCTTGTGCTGCCAAAAGAGAAACATCTAGGACACAAAAGGGATTCTTGTCCCTTGGAGTCTGAGCAATAGGTTGACCAGTGGGAGGATAGGCAAGACCCGGGGTTCAGATCTGAGGGCTGATCTGCACCTGCTATGTGCCATTCATTAGGATGGTGAAGTCTCACATAGATAAAAGGCACATGGCACTTCAAAACAGCATTCCTAAGATGGCTTGGGGGACTTATCAAGGTAGGTGATTCAGGGAGCTCAGGGGCTTATGTACATCTATGTACATCTTGTCTCTTGGTGTAGCCACCAGGCCACTCCTGATGCCATTCACCACTAGGTGGCCCATCCCTTCAAGACGCCATACCAGTAAGATGGTGACACCAGTGTGTCTTGAAAACCAAGGAATCACGTGGGCAATTTAACATGGAAGTCCCAAGATGTAATTACTGAATTGTTACAGTGTCTAGAAATAAAGCATGTTGGAAAACAGGCTGTCCAGGCTGGATAAGGAAGAGGTAATAAGACTGTGCAGGTATTTCGTGGGAACCATCTCTCTGGCAGCAAGGCTGAGGGAGAAGAATGCCTTCTGGGAGAATGGCTATTCATATAGAACCAAAAAAGAGCTTGTATATCCAAGAAAATCCTAAGCAAAAATAATAAAGCTGGAGGCATCACACTACGCAACTTCAAACTATACTATAAGGCCACAGTAACCAAAACAGCATAGTACTGGTACAAAAACAGGCACACAGACCAATGGAACAGAATAGAGAACTTAGAAATAAAACCACACATCTACAACCATCTGATCTTCCAAAAACCTGACAAAAACAATGAAGAAAGAATTCCCCATTTAATAAATGGTGCTAGGAGAACTGGCTAGCCATATACAGAAACTTGAAACTTGACCCTTTTCTTATACCTTTCACAAAATTAATGCTAGATGAATTAAAGACTTAAATATAAGACCCAAAACTATAAAAACCCTAGAAGAAAATCTAGGCAATACCATTCAGGACATAGGCATAGGCAAAGATTTTATGATGAAATCACCAAAAGCAATTTCAACAAAAGCAAAAATTGAGAAATGGGATGAAATTAAAGAGCTTCTGCACAGCAAAAGAAACTATCATCGCCGGGCGCGGTGGCTCAAGCCTGTAATCCCAGCACTTTGGGAGGCCGAGGCAGGTGGATCACGAGGTCAAGAGATCGAGACCATCCTGGTCAACATGGTGAAACCCCGTCTCTACTAAAAATACAAAAAAGTAGCTGGGCATGGTGGCACATGCCTGTAATCCGAGCTACTCAGGAGGCTGAGGCAGGAGAATTGCCTGAACCCAGGAGGCGGAGGTTGCAGTGAGCCGAGATCGTGCCATTGCACTCCAGCCTGGGTAACAAGAGCGAAACTCCATCTCAAAAAAGAAAAGAAAAGAAAAGAAAAGAAACTATCATCAGAGTAAACAGACAATCTATAGAATGGGAGACATTTTTTTTTTCAATCTATCCATCTGACAAAGGTCTAATATGCAGAATCTACAAAGAACTTAAGAACTTAAGCAAATTTACAAAATACCCACAAACGATTCCATTAAAAAGTGGGCAGAGAACATGAACAGACACTTCTCAAAAGAGGACATACATGCAGCCAACAAACATATGAAAAATGTTCAGCATTACTGATCATTAGAGAAAGGCAAATCAAAACCACAATGAGATGCCATCTCACGCCAGTCAGAATGGCGCTGATCGAAAAGTCAAGCAACAAGATGCTGGCAAGGTTGTGAAGAAATAGGAATGTTTTTACCCTGTTGGTGGGAATGTAAATCAGTTCGACCATTGTGGAAGTGATTCCTCAATGTAGTGATTCCTCAAAGATTTAGAAACAAGTACCATTTGATCCAGCAATCCCATTACTGGGTATATACCCAAAGGAATATAAATCATTCTGTTATAAAGATACATGTATGCATATGTTCAATACAGCACTATTCACAATAGCAGACTTGGAATCAACCCAAATGCCCATCAATGATAGACTGGATAAAGAAAATGTAGTACATATACATCATGGAATACCATGCAGCCATAAAAGGGAACAAGATTATATCCTTTGCAGGGACTGGGATGGAGCTGGAGGCCATTAGCCTCAACAAACTGGCACAGGAACAGAAAACCAAACACTGTGTCTTCTCACTTATAAGTGGGAGCTGAACAATGAGAACACATGGACACAGGGAGGGGAACAACACATACTGGGGCCAGTCGGGGTAGTATGGGGCAGAGAGAGCATCAGGAAAAATAGCTAATGCATGCTGGCTTAATACTTAGGTGAAGGAATGGTTGATAGGTGCAGCAAAGCACCGTGTCCCACATTTACCTGTGTAACCAACTTGCACATCCTGCACATGTACCCCAGAACTGAAAATTTGAAAAACATCAACAGTAACAATAGCTAACATCATCAACAGTAAGAGCAGCTAACTTTTCTGGGTATTTGCTATGTTCCACACACTAAGCTAAGTTCCTTACATGCATTATCTCATTTAATCCTCCCCAAACTTCCACGATGGTAATAATATCCTGGTCCCTGTTTTGCAGATGAGACACTAAGGCACATAGAGGTTAAATAACTTGCCCAAGATCACACAGCTAGCCAGTAGTAAGATTCAATCCCAGACCCAGATCCTGCTAAGCAGTATAGTTTGTGAACACCTAGTGACATCACAGGAACCACACTTCCATCTCTTATTTTAATGTCCTGAATGTTCTTCCTTATAAATGCACATTAGACTTGAGTGGGTAAAAATTCTGAACATACCGAGTCTTCTACCCTGAGCCAATCCTCTTCAAAATGAACCTGCATGGGAACCAATGCTGAAAGTGGAAAGAGACCACAGACAGGCCCGACATCTGTAGGCACAAGGCAGAAAACTGTCTCCCTGTACCCCTACTCCCAGTTAAAAGCCTGTGGGCATCTTTGAGCCAATGACTGGCTGCTGCAAAGGATTCTGGGAATCCCAACCCCTCACAGTTCTGCAAACACTGAGCTTTGCTCAACTTACAGTCCTGCAAAAGGTGGATAGTAGAATAGGAAGGTGGGCATACAGGCCAAATCCTCTGTTCTGCCTTCCAGGAAGGAAGAACCATACTGTCCGGGAAGCTCACAAGTAACATGTGGCCCGTGGGCATGCCAGGGATAAAGTGAAGGATGGACTGCTCTGTGGGAGGAAGGAAGGAGAGTGAACAGGGAGGCACTGGGTCATCTGCAGGAAGACTTAGAGGAGGGAAGGAGGGAGACTGGCTTTGGCAGGGAGGGGAGGCGGAGGCGGGAGCAGAGGGAGCTGGAGGATCGGTTCAGGCAGTGAGAGAGGGCAGCCCCACTCTATTTCCCAAGCTGCTCTCTGGATGCAGGCAGGAAGGTTGAGTGTATTACACTGGCCCCACCTCCAGAGGCTCTCTCTGCAGCTGCTGGACTGGACACAAAGCGTGAGAGACAGAGACACCATCTCTGCTGATTTGTACTCAACTCTGGTTCCTGCTGCTGAGAGCCCACGTGTCACAGAAGCCAGGGCAGGGGGGCCCACACTGCTGTCTGCATTTCCCAGGTAAGCAACTGTCTGTGTGTGAGCCAGGAGTGGAGAGCAAGGCCTGAGAGCCGTGAGCAGAGGAGAAAGTAGGAGGTGGCTGCTTGGGATGGACTGTAGTACAATGTGGAAGGAATGAAGGAAAGAAGAGGGGTATGGGCTGGGTTGCAGCAAGCCCTCAGGGTAGGCTTCTGCAGAGTGTTGATGGATGCATGAGGTTGGGGAGTTGGAGGCTTCATTTGGTCCATTCCTGCCTGGCAAGTGCAGAGAAAGTTCCAGCAAAGGACTGTGCTCTGACAGCCTCCAGAGGCCAGCACATCTGGAGAGCAGAGAGGCCAGCTATACCATGGCACCAGTGTTCCTCTTCCAGGCCAGGTATAGTTATGCAGACTTTGCCAGAAAATCCCTCCTTGTGCCTCTGCCTGCCTCCAGGTCTTCCTGGTGGCCAAGAGCTCACCTGAGGCAGCAACAGGAGAAAGAAAGCAGGACACATTCGCTGGGGACATGGCTTCAGATGGAGGAGGGATTCCTCATCTGAAAAGAAAGTCTCCTGACAGGCTCTGGAGAAGGAATTGGTTAGCTAGTGGAGGGCTGTGTGCCACCCTAAGGAGGCTCCCCTGTGGTTCAGAGGAAGATAATGAAACACAGGCTGTGGAAAATGGGGTATTTGTACTGGAGGTGGGGTGGGGAGTGGGTAAAGTCAGTGATCTGTGAACAGTGCCACGGAAACAGGCAGTATGCCGTCAACAGAGAAAGAAGGAGACCTAAGACATGCGTTTCATATAAACCCAGCATCCCTTTCCTGTCCCTGATGGAGGATGCACCTCCCTGGATCAAGCCTGCTGGTCTAAGTTCTATGAAGTTGGCTAGTGGTATGTCCCCTCTGTGAACTACACATTCACTCCCTAAGATCCACTGTGCTGAGCACATGTCCGACCTGGGCTCCTGTCAAAAGGCATGCTGGCTACACTCTGCCATGTGATGGGTGAGGGAAGCAGTGAGGGAAGAGGAGTGGTCCCTGGGCTTGGGGCACAAAGGGACATGAGATGCTGAACTCCAGTCACAATTGCAATGTGTCCTCCCTCCGCGGCTTCTGTATCCAGAGTAGACAGTGAGGATTCCTCCCCACTGCTTCCCCTCCATACATACAGGGTGACTGGGCTCGTGATCAGGCAGACACTGGGGAAGAACAGTTGGATGAGATGGGGACAGGGTAACTGAGCCAGTCAAGTACAAAGATCACTCCTTTTATCCCTTCTGAGATGGCAGTGAAAGGTGGGCAGAGGTAGAGAGAAGGAGCTTTCAGAAGGTAAATACTCAGTGACCAATACTCGTGAGCACCCCAGGCAGTAGCCTCTGCAACATGGGTCCTGGCTCTGATGGGCAGCCACTGGCCTCTCTCTTTGGTGGAGGGCAATCTGGGTCAATGAGAGCAGGGAGGAGCCCAGCAGTGAGGCCCTGTAGCCAAGGTTCCTTGGCCTGGAAAACACAAGGGGCTTTGATACCTGTAGAAAGCCACAGCTCTTCACCCCAGGATGCTGCAGCTGCTCTTGGGCAGAGCCCAGCCCCAGAGCAGGCCTCGGTCTGGAGGCCACAGCTGAAAGGCAAGACAACTTGGGGATTAACATAATGGCCTTGAAATTAGAGAGAAACCCCACTGCTGCTGTCTATGAGCTGCGTGGCCTTGGGCAGGTAAGTAACTTCAAAAAAGCTCAGTTTCCTGGTCTGTAAAATTGAAAGAATAATGTAATAATAGCATCTGTCTTAAGGTTTGCTGAGAGGAATAAATGAAATCATATTTGTGAACCACTCAACATAGTACCTGGCTCATAACGTGTGTTCAGAAAAATGAGAATTTTAATACCCGCCTCTGGGATTCTGAGACGTTTCTCTCCAGACTAAAGCCCCTGGAGAGACCCTCAGTATCCTGCCTTTCACTCTAACTCCTTTAAAATATGTCACTCACCCAATCCTTGTTAACCAACCCTCCAGCAGGCTTTCTCTGTGTCTTCAAGCTAAAGTAAGTTTGAAAATAAAACCCAAATGGCTCCCATGTCTCATGCCTTACAGTTGAAATCCTACTCCATGCTTCTTGAGTCGGGAGATGTGTACTCCAGCGGGCATGTGTGCCATGGGATCAATATGGCACACTTGGGGGAAGATTAAACATTTAAACCCAAGGTAATTTGAAAAACACTATTTTCTGTAAAACAAACGCAACATAGAATGTAAACTCTCCTGAATGTTTACGATGAAGCAAAATTTCAAAGACAGGTCAAGCTCTCAGTGGGCATCCTCTGCCCCGTGGGTGCTTATGGGTAGCCTCCCTGGCGGTTAGAAGTGCCTCGGAAGTTTCAAGGGCCTGAGAAGGCCTGCTTAAGCCGTGAGAGGCAGCCGGTGTCTTCTTGGGAACATGCCTGGTGTCTTCCTGACACCCTCATTCTCCTTGTCTTTGGAAGAGATGGCCCAGGGCCTGAGAGTATCCCTAGCTGACACCATCATGGGATGGCAGACTTGCACTCCTGGCAGGGACGGCAAGAGCCAGCCTGGTTTCCAGCTTCCCGAGTTGGAGACACTGTAAGTGCCTTAGGAGGACCAGAGCTTGCTTCCTACCATGTCATCGAGTTGTCCCCCGTTCTCACAAAGGACACATTTGGTTAGCAGTTGAGGGCTGAGCACCGGCATCTGTAGGTATAAGGCAGAAAACTGTCTCCCTGCACCCCGACTCCCAGTTAAAAGGCTGTGGGCATCTTTGAGCCAATGACTGGGCTGCTGCAAAGGATTCTGGGAATTCCAACCCCTCCCAGTTCTGCAAAAACAGCTTTGCTCAACTCACAGTCCTGCAAAAGGTGGATACTAGAATAGGGAGGAGGGCATACAGGCCAAATACTCTGTTCTGCCTTCCAGGAGGGACAGGGCACAGCTGGCACCCAGTAATGTCCCACTCTGGCTATTCCTGACAGCATGGTCTCCTGGGGCTTCTTCTAGCAAGTGGACTCTCCAGAGGGAATAAGGATGATTGGGATTTTCAGCAGAGCCAGGTCTCTGTCCTCAGTGAGGCTCAAAAATATGCCTCGCATGGAGGCCAACTGGAGACAGAGTGGTAGTGAGAACCTCAGTGCCTCTGGGCATGAAAGCGATTAAGAACATTCTTTGTGATTTTCTCTTCACATTTTTCTTCTTGCAGGTATCCTGAGCCGAGCAAAGGTTCTTCCTCAGAGGAGCAGGCAATAGAAGCGCCTGAACATCATGGCACAAGTGGACTCCCAGGACAGGTGGGAAGAGGCTCTCAGCAGCTTGACTGAGGAGCCTCATGACCCCCAGATGCTGAACATGAACTTAGAGAGTGAGGATGAAGGTGGTGGGGAGTCAGAAAAAGAGGGCACTGCTGACATGGTGGCCTGTCTAAGGGGCAGCTCCCCAGTAACATGTGACAATCCTGACTTGCCGTGGCCCCATCCGCTAGGCAAAGAAGAGGAGAAATTCTCTGCCTCCTCCAGTGCAAGGGGCATGGGGCAGAAACCAATGCAGATGTCCGGGAGAGCCAGCTGGAGCAGAGAGGTGCCAAAGATCAACGAGACCCAGGGCTCCCCGGGAGCAAGCACAGCTCTGGGTACCCTTCCCACTGGTCTCACACACAAGCTGTTAGGTCAGCTGCAACCTCTTAGGGACCGATTATCTGCGGGTGATGATGGAGACTTGAGGGCAAACCAGAACGCAGCCTTGGATGTCCCATCCAGCTTCCCCAGCAATGGAAAGTATCTCTGTGCACACAGAAGTGTAAACACGTCCGCAGAAAACTCTTCTCTGTTGTGTTTCCCCAGGCCGGGGAGCAACTGGGACCTCCCCATGCGAGACACACACACACCAGCCCAGGCGTCGGCCACCCCAGCCAGCTTGGCAGCCGCGGGGCTAGCAAAAGGACGAATCGGCAGGAAGGTACAGAAGCAGGTGGGCGGGCGCGGGGGCGGAGAGGCCGAGGCGCGTCCCCACGGGCGCCTGCGGGGCGGGAGGGCCTTCCCGGAGCCCGGCTCGCCGCGGAGCCCCGCGGAGACGCGCCGCGATGCCAAGCCCTACGCGTGCGAGCTGTGCGGGAAGGCCTACTCCCACCGCGGCACGCTCCAGCAGCACCGGCGCCTGCACACGGGCGAGCGGCCCTACCGCTGCTCCTTCTGCGGCAAGGCCTACACCTGGGCCTCCGACCACCGGAAGCACGTCCGCACCCACACGGGCGAGAAGCCCTACCCGTGCCCAGACTGCGGGAAGGCCTTCGTGCGCTCCTCGGACCTGCGCAAACACCAGCGCAACACGCACGGCAACGACAAGCCCTTCCCGTGCTCCGAGTGCGGCCTGACCTTCAACAAGCCGCTGTCGCTGCTGCGCCACCAGCGCACGCACCTGGGCGCCAAGCCCTTCCGCTGCGCCGCCTGCGACCGCGAGTTCGCGGTGGCCAGCCGCATGGTGGAGCACCAGCGCGTGCACTCGGGCGAGCGGCCCTTCCCCTGCCCCACGTGCGGCAAGTGCTTCACCAAGTCCTCCAACCTGGCCGAGCACCAGACGCTGCACACGGGCCAGAGGCCCTTCAAGTGCGCGGACTGCGGCGTGGCCTTCGCGCAGCCGTCGCGCCTCGTGCGCCACCAGCGCATCCACACCGGCGAGAGGCCCTTTGCTTGCACGCAGTGTGGCCAGGCCTTTGCCCGCTCCTCCACCCTGAAGCGGCACCAGCAGATCCACTCCGGGGAGAAGGGATTCCTCTGTGCCGAGTGCGGCAGGGCCTTCCGCATTGCCTCCGAGTTGGCCCAGCACATACGGATGCACAACGGAGAGAGGCCCTACCAGTGTGAGGACTGCGGCCAGGCCTTCACCCGGTCGAATCACCTCCAACGACACCGAGCCAAGCATGGCACCTGCAAGAAGGAGCCCATCCCGTCCTCCTCTGACGAGTGAAGACAGCAGCGTCGACCTCACTGCTTGGAACCTTCCCAGGTGAACGCACTCACATGATATTGCCAGCCAGCCGCGCCGGTCAGCCAGGCCTACCCAGTAGGTCGCCGGTCTTGAGTGGTCCGTTTGATTATGTATTTGATCCTTTGAATAGAAAGTCACCACCGAGAGAGCACCCAGGTGTGTGGTTTCACATCAGTGGTTCTGAGTGTCAGAGGTCATAAGCAATCGGAAAAGGGAAGGACAAAGTAGTGGGAGCTGATCAAGGTTTAGTTTCTTGGGTTGGGGGACCAAAATCAATCAGAAACTGCTTCTAGAATTACATGCTTGGGACTGTGCAGGGCTCCGGGCATAAGGTGAGGAAAAAGATTAACCCGTCCTACCGTCAAAGCCGTTTGCAAATACTGAGAAGGCATGAGGGGCTGGTAATCTTTAGAGAAAGGTGCTTTTTGGTTTTCACGGAAATAAAGGAATCCCCAGAAGTGGTCCCTACGATGAACTCCCCCAAAGCAGCAAAGCCTTTGTGAGAGGGACTCAAGCCCAGCCCAACATCCCATCATTTCACTTGACTGCAGAAATGGCTTCACCTTAGGGCAGGCGTCCCCAAACTACGGCCCGCGGGCCGCATGCGGCCCCCTGAGGCCATTTATCCGGCCCCTCGCCGCACTTCAGGAAGGGGCACCTCTTTCATTGGTGGTCAGTGAGAGGAGCACAGTATGTGGCGGCCCTCCAACGGTCTCAGGGACAGCGAACTGGCCCCCTGTGTAAAAAGTTTGGGGACGCCTGCCTTAGGGTATATCTTTATGGGCCTTGGCTTTGAAGTAGACAAGGCCTTCATCTTAGAGAAGGTAGTTTATGTCCTATTCTAGTTCTTGTGGAAGTTCAGTACAGCATTAGCATCTGAAAAAGAAGTCCGTTCCTCTTTATAGTGGAATTTGGTAAGTAGATTGAACCTGAATCTTATCCACAAAATTCATACGTGCCTTCTGTCTGGCTGTCTCTTTTCCTGTTTGCACTCTGAGGGCTTAAGTTATATGTGATATTTACAAAGTAATTGGTTCATTTACAGAGAGACATATAGAATTTCTCCACAAAGCCTTGACCGTGGTTCACGAAACCTTTTGATTCATTTAAATTTGTCTGAATTATTAGCCTCGATTTAAAGTAAACAAAACACCCTTTGCCCAAGTGCCATTGGCTTGTCTGTGTTTCAAAATATTAAAACCAGGTAGGCAGGCTTACATGACTCACAGTTATCTGATGAAGTTATTTCAAAGTTTGCGTTACTAACAGCCGTTCTTCAAAGTGTATTGATACATATAGTGATCTGTATAAAGTCAGTAGTTCTTAGCACCGAACCTCAACTGTGTGGAATCTATGACCTTCACAGAGGTCCTTGGTGCACGCAGGCAAACTTCTTATCTTACCGGAGTTAAATAAGATATTCCACAATAAAGTATAGTCTCCCTTTTGGGGGGAGTATCTTCAGTATATTCCTCAAATTGCCACCAAAGAATGCCAAATCTGAATTTCTCTTGGGTTCTACCTGATTTGGACCTAGGGTGTGACCTCTAAATCGCATTCTCATGACATATGGGGGCACCAAAGAGAAGTAAGACAGACAGACAGATAGATATTCTTGTGCCTTGTTCGATCAAGGTAACCTTAATAAAAGGGTCCACCCCATCCTTTACTGTTGATGTGACATTGGGCTTCAGCTTCTGCATCTGCACTGGCAAAATAGAAGTGTAATAGTAGATACAATTTAGAGTGATCCTACCACATGTCAGAAACATTGTCTGAATGCAAGAGCTGTAAATGGGTAGAAAAGTCAAAAGATGAATTTTTTACTATGAAGAGAGCCAAAGCTAACATTTTTTTGCCAGGTAATCAATAAAATATTTGAAGACTGAAGGATCATTCCTTTTCATTGTATCCTTTCTTGAAGATGGTTATTAGTATAGGTTTTACAAATTAAAAAATTTGGTTTTGTTTTGTAATTTTTAAGGAGTTGTTCCCCAAAGCCTGATTGCATAGGAATCACCTGGGCTGTTGGTTAACCATATAAGTTGCTGAACCCTAACCTTGACTACTGATAAGGCCTGCAGTGTGGTATCTACATATGGCTTCCACATGGGCATAGCTTTGGAGAAGAAGTGAATGTACTTGTTAATAGGCAGAAAAGCTGGATTTGCTTGTGCTGGGTATCTTTGGTGCTGTATACTATGTTTCTGGAATATAAGGGGTGGAATGTACTGAATAGGTCAAAGAGAAGTTGATAATCCTTCAGGCCTATCACAAAACAAGTCAGATTTTGAGGAAAATTGTCCCAACCAGTCTTTTCTCATACCAACTGCAAGGGTCATGCTGAGTAGGTATTGGAGAAGAAAGAAATCCCATTGGAACCAGTAGTCACAGATCACTGGACCAGACAGTGGCACACAAGTGGAAAGCAACGGTACATGGAGTAGACAAAAGATCAACCAACCAGCTGTTAGGTAGCTTAAGACAAATTCTGCCCAGTGGAGTCTGTTCATTCAAAGTGGGGGCAATTGAATTATATCTTTGGAGAAGAATCAATACCTAAAGACCCGTTACTCTGTTTCACATTTGTGCCCCAAATTATGTTGAGCTACTTTCTGGTTTTCTATGAACCCACTGTACATCAAAGCAGATGATCTTATTTCTCTATTAGGTAATTAAAAATCAGGGTAAAGCTGGGTGTGGTGGCTCATTCCTATAATCCCAGTGCTTTGAGAGGCGGAGGTGGGAGGATTGCTTGATCTCGGAAGTTTGAGACCAGCCTGGGCAGCATAGTGACATCCCTGTCTCTATAAAAAATTTAAAAATGAGCCAGGCTGGCTGGATGTGGTGGCTCGTGCCTGTAATCCCAGCACTTTGGGAGGCCACGGCAGGTGGATCACCTGAGGTCAGAAATTCAAGACCAGCCTGGCCAACATGGTGAAACGCCATCTCTACTAAATTTACAAAAATTAGCTGAGCATGGTGGTGGGCACCTGTAATCCCAGCTACTCGGGAGGCTGAGGCAGGAGAATTGCTTAAACCCATCAGTGGAATTTTTATTAAGTGGAAACTTATAAATGAACATTTTTTACTGGTTATATTCAAATTAATATAAGTTGCCCAGGCTGGTCTCAAACTCCTGGGATAAATATACCAGAGAATGGCTTGAACCTGGGAGGCAGAGGTTGCAGTGAGCCAAGACCGCACCACTGCACTCCAGCCAGGTGACAAATACGAAACTCCAGTCTCAAAAAACAACAGAAAAATGAGCCAGGTGTGGTGGCACACACATATAGTCCCAGGTACTGGGGAAGCAGAGACGGGAATTACTTGAACCCAAGAGGTGGCAGCCGCAGTGAGCTGTGAACATGCCACTGTAATTCAGCCTGGGTGACAGAGTGAGATGCTGTCTCAAAATAAATAAATAAAATAAAATAGGGGCAGGGCCTTCTTTTTGACAAAAAGATTTAAAGTTTCTCTCTAGGTTAATGCTGTTTCCACAGTATCGGTTGCCAAAATTTATTTGAATATACCCAATGTTCATTTATAAATTGCCATTTAATAAAAGTTCCCCTGATGAGTTCACCAGTCTATAGTGATCATGACCCATATTCTTTAGATCATAATGATAATAGCCAACACTTACATTGAGTTCGGTATGTGCCATGAACTGTTCTAAGTGTTTTATGTATATTAATTATTATTATTATTATTATTTTTTGAGACGGAGTTTCGCTCTTGTTACCCAGGCTGGAGTGAAATGGCGTGATCTCGGCTCACTGCAACCTCCGCCTCCTGGGTTCAAGCAATTCTCCTGTCTCAGCCTCCCAAGTAGCTGGATGCCAGCCATTTTCTGGCTGTGATATCTTGGGCAAATTAACTTATTTCTCCCTTGATTTCCTAATCTTTAAAAAAATGGGGACAAGAATAACTGAATACAGTTATTTGCTTTATTAAAGCAAACTTACAGTTATTCTTATCCCCATTTTTTTAAAGATTAGGAAATCAAGGGAGAAATAAGTTAATTTGCCCAAGATATCACAGCCAGAAAATGGCTGGCATAGTAATGATTTGACATTTATGCATGCTTGCTCCAGAGAATGTTCTTAATAGGGACAACTGCCTCTGTTTGGAATGGAGTTGTTGATGCTGTGCATTTTTAAAATGGATGACAATAAATTCAAACAATGATAAAAATTGAAACAGCACAGCAGAAATCATGGCATGACTCAGGGACGAAGACCTGTGAATGACTTAATGGATCTGGGAGAGTCTGGGTTGGCAGCTCTTAATCATTAATGCCTTGGAAACTGTCAATAACCTGGCCAGGGAAAATAAATTGGAATTAAAGGAATAATACTTCCTTGAAGACCCACTGTTGTTTCATATCACTGACTAAAGAAACATTCCCTGCCTGAGCCTTACACAGAAAAATACACCAGCAACTAATCTTGGCACTCAACATTTACACATTCTGTAATCTAAGTGCATGCACATTAAAAAGCTATATTAACCTGATATGAACACAATAGATCACCCAGGAATTCCAACTAGACCTTAAAAAATCTTGCCTGGAAGAAAATGTTGTGTAAGGCATTGGTTTAATTGCCAGAACACTCAAGCAGATGTCATTGCTAGCCTCAGAACTAGAATACGAACTACAAACTCAGTGACCCATGAACATATTGCCAAAGATGGAATGACTCAATGTTTCATCAGACCAGAAGAGGGCAGCTGTTTAAGTTGACAGGAAAGCTCATTTATAACATCAATTTCCCTCTCTCCATTCTGCAGGAAACCATGCCAGGACAATTTTTCCACTGTCTGGAAAATGTTTTTCTCTCTCTCTCCTTCTTGTTTGTCTCCTTAACCACCCCTACCCTACAACTTTCAGTCAAATTGGTTCAGAGTTTCTCTGTTTAGGAGAGTCAGGAACTCAGCAGATTGGTTCAGCAAATGAATAGAACTGCTATAAAATATAAGTTATCACTAAGATTTAAAGAAAAACACCTCTTGCTAAAAACAAAGAAAACACAGAGGAGGCCAAAAACAAGGAGGGACACAGGGATTCCTTGTGGTAGTTCAGATGGAGTCAAGGAAAAGTGGGGATAGAGATAAGATGAGGAGATGCCAGAGATTTCGGGGGTGGAGCCAATGAGGCTTGGTGAAGGGATAAAAATAGCTACCGTTTAGTGAACATATTTTAGAGATCGGCACTACATTCATTATCTCAATTCCTACAACAATCTGTTATGAAAGGTCCTTGAAAAATATTTTTACATGGGGTCTGCAACAATTTTCCTTTCCAGGAATGCAGTCAAGATTAATAGGTCATGGCTATTACCCATTATTGTTAAGCAAGAGTCAGTAAGCTCTACGTGTTCATTCTAAAAACAGGCTGTCTCTGTGCAACAAGGAGAATATGTAGCAAATGTCCTGCCTTTTGGTTTAGAAGTTAATGCCTGCTTACAGTTTTATTTTCCATCATCATTGTGGTGGCTTTAAAAATATGTGCACAAATTCTTTGACACGCCTCTCTTCGAGACTGGAACCTAGTTTTCTTCCCTTTTAGTGTAGGCTAGACTTAGTGACTCGGTTCTAATGGACAGAATAAAGCAGAAGTGATGGTGTGTGACTTTGGAGTCTAGGTCATAAAAAGCACTGTGGCTTCCATAATATACTTTGTTTCTCTCTCTCTTTTTCCCTCATTCACTTGCTTTGGCAGAAGACAGCCACCATGTCCTAAGTAGCCTTGTGGCCCTGTGGTGAGGAACTGGGGTACTCCACCAGCAGCCACATCAGTGACCTTTTAAGTGGATCGCCTAGCTCCAGTCAAGAGTTCAGATGACTGGAGACCTGGCAGACAACTTGATTGGAACCTCATGAAAGACCAACAGCCAGAACTGTGCAGCTAAGTGGCTCCCAAGTTACCAATCCTTGGAAACTGTGTAAAATAATAAATGCTTGTTTTTTTTTTTTTTAAGCTGTTGAATTTTGGTTGGTAATTTGTAGTGCTGCCATAGAAAACAAACAGTAATACAAGGAATAACTTTCTCCTAACGAGTAAGAGACTATTCACTCAGTGTCACCGCGAGCCCTGATTTCTGCCCTTAGTAAATTGCCAGAAAGGTTGGAAACATGTCTGCTTCCTCTTGCCACATTCCCTCCGATGGCCACCCACTTAGGCTGGTTGAGACTCAGCTGTTGTATAGATACCCTTCTGTAATCTGTTTCATTGCTGCGTGAGCCTCACTAGTTCCGGGGCCCAGGAAGAGGCAGCCTTCGAGAAGGGGGCAGAAACACTGCATCATATCTGGATACCAACACCACATCTGATAAGGAATTCTAAGTACGAATCCCTTTTGGTCACTCTCTTTCTTGGTATATTTCAGTGGTTACTTCAGAGATAAGTGAATTCATGTATGGTCTTCCCTAGCAAAAGGAGAAATTCCTAGTTCTCCAGAGCCTAAAACATAATCCTTTGAGGAAAATACAATATTATCCCTGTTTTGCAAAAAAGGAAACACCATTTCAAAGGATGACTGCCAGTTTAATGACAAAGGTGAAGGGAAGTGTTTATGACAAGTACACAGAGGATGGTGCTTTTGTACTGATGGAAAAGTAGTCAGGAACTAAGGATAATGATGAAATGAGAGGGAGTTAGTCTGAAAATCACTCCAGAGTTTCCAAAATGCTATAACCAATTCGATCCTCAACTGTTTCCTAAATCTTCGTGACGAAAGTGGTTCTGAACCTTTTCTTGAATCACAAGCTACTTGAGAATCCAATAAAAGCTGTGGAGCCTATCAAAAGCCCCACATTACTGATGTTTTGTGTTATGATTTCAAGGAGTCGCAGGCCTTCTGAAGCCCATTGACTGGCCTAAAACTAAGATTCTCTTCTGAATTCCACTTCCAAATATGTTTACAGCACCAAAACCCAGGAACTTAAGTCAGTTATAATAGCAAAGGGCTAACAGAGACTTGCAAAGTAAGCCCTATCAGAGACTAGGTTTTGGATAATTTTTAAAAGAGAAAACGAAACAAGATAACTAAGACACTTTATGCTTCAAAGGGGTAGACAAATTTTTCAAATACCAAAATGAATTTCTTACTGATACAGAGAATCAGTTGTGTTCTCTCTTATAAATGTAATGTTTACTCTTGGAATATGTAAAATGATATATGTAGTTTGGAAAACATCCAAGCAAGTATTGTCACAGGTTTTAAGAAAAATAAATACTTTCTTTCGAAAAGTACAACACTTAATGACAAAGATAAGCCAGATTGCAAATGGCCTTGAGGAAAGAGGCTAGATTTACATTCAGAACTGCATGGAAACCATCACAGGACTGCAATTGTGGAAAACTACAATAAAGACTAGTCCTTAAGAAACCAAGCGGAACACCAGATTATGAAAATGGTTTGGCTTCTTGATGAGGCTTCTTTATTTGAGAATTAAATAAATGTTTACAGTTGAGTTTATCAATTGTAAATTCAATTATAAAAATTATTTTATTTTCAGCCATTAATAACAGTATTATCTGCACCTGTAAATATCTATCTTATTCCTACTAGAAATAACCACAGTACTTCTGAGGGGGAAAGACTGTGTTCTTAGATTTATTTCAGTTCATTCGTGAGGGGCAGGGTCTGGAGGAAAAGCCTGAACTGAGTGAGTTAGTGACAAAAAACTTGTTTTATTGACTAAATCTTAATAGAGATAAAAACAAAAGGCAAAGATAAACTCAACAGCCCAGCAACTAGGATCCCTCCACTTCATGAGTCCGTCATGCCTCCTCCAGGTCCCTGGCTGAAGGACAGCATGAGCAGAGGAAGCACAGGATTCTGCTTTCTCTCCAGATAAATCTGCTGATGGGGTTGCAGGGATGCCAGCTGGGTGAACGTCTCCACACTCATTTCCGCAGAAAGGCAGCACTCCAGAGTGCACTTGTTGAAATCTTTTTAACCTGACCATCTGGACGAAGGCCACACCACATTCTCGGCAGTTTTATGGCTTGCTCTTCCAATGGGTCCCCTTAAGTCTTGACAGCAGGTTTGGTTTGCGAAACCTTTTACAGCAAAGAGGACAGATGTATGGTTTGCAGTCTTCCTTTCCTGTGTTTCGTTCATCTGAACTGTGCTGGCTTTGGTGTACTGTGGACCAGGGATCTCTCACGGTACATTTTCCACAGTCATTTTGGAGCACTGCAACTCAAGCATATTTCACAGGTACCTCCAAACATCCACTGTGCAGATGAAACCTTTATCACTTTCAGGCCACTCACATGGCTGGTCTCCAGAGCGAATCAATTTGTGCTTGCGTAGGTTGGCAGCCCAGAATAGTTCCTTGCTACAGGTGGGGTGACAGTGGGAATGTGCCCCTAAATGGTACTGCTTATGCTCTTGAAGTCCTGTGAGGTCCTAAAAAGATGTCCAACAACTGGGCTGCTGATCAGAGCAATCTTCTCTAGAGATCAGATCTGTGTCTTCATCATAAAATGTCAACAAGGATCATATTTTCATCACCCTCAATAGACTCTCTCTGAAGATCTTCTGAGTGCTCAGAACAAGATAGCTCTATGTCTTCATCCTCATACTGTAGGTTAAAGTTGGTTCTAGAAGTCATAGAGATCCCTGTAGGGTCTGGAGGGATCCTAGTTGCTGGGCTGTTGAGTTTATCTTCACCTTTTATTTTTATCTCTATTAAAGATTTAGTCAATAAAACAAGTTTTTTGTCACTAGCTCACTCAGTTCAGGCTTTTCACTCTGTGGGTGGTAACAGATTTCATAAGTTTCCTCATCTTTACACTGAAGTTCTACAAGAAGCTCTTGCTGACCTGAGAGACCTGCTGAGATGTAGCCATCACGGAGGGTGGTGAGTACTTCTCCTGAATATCCAGATGTAGCCGTAATTCCTGACTTATTTTGCCTGAGCTCAGGCTGGATTCATCTGAAGATGCCTTCTCTGTGTCCTGGGCATCATCTGACTGCTTTGGTACCTCTATGTCCATTCTCAGGCCACTGGGCTGGGTACTTATTTTTAGCTTTTTGGTGAAGTTCTGGTCCTTTGGCCTTACATACTTCCTCAACCGTTTTGACATTGTTTCATTTTAATTTTCAAACATCCTAAAGGAAAAGAAAATAACTGTTCAAAGAATTTGCTAAAATCTACTCTAGGAACTACAAAATTATTTCCATTTTTCTCAACATAAATAGTTTCTATTTATTTTATTTATTCTCAAATAAATAGTTTCTATTTATTTATTTGAGACAGAATCTCACTCTGTCACCTAGGCTGGAGTGCAGTGGCATGATCTCAGTCCACTGCAACCTCCATCTCCCGAGTCAAAATAATTCTCCGAAGTGGAATCAGGCCTCACCCTCCCAAGTAGCTGGGATTACAGGTGTGCACCGTTGTGCCTGGCTAATTCTTGTATTTTCAGTAGCAAAGAGGTTTTGTCACGTTGGCCAGGTTGGAGCCTACAACAGCCTAAAGGCTGAAAAACTGGACTGCTGATCCTGGAAGAAGCCCATCCTTTCCCGACTGATTCTCTCTGAATAATGGCCACCTGAGTACTGGGGGAGGGGGTAAAGCCAGGAGAAGTCCCTGCTATTTGCATGGGGAGGAGCCTGGTCTCTTAATTTCCGGAGTGTTGGCTTGGGATTCAATCTGTAAGGTGGAGGATTGCTAACAGGACTCTCTCTCTCTTTGCTGAGATTACTCTTCTCTTTTTTCCTTTTCACCCAATAAGCCCTGCCCTATTCACCCTGCAATGTGTCTGCATGCCTAAATTTTCCTGGTTGTGACAAGAACCTGGCTTTTTCTGCAATGGAAGGAAGGAAGGAAGAGAGGGAGACAGACAAAGAGAAACAAAAGGCAAGTGCAGCAAACTGTTACTAATCGGTGAATGTAGGTGAAGGTTATACAGGACGTCATTGTATTATTCTCACAACTTTTCTGCTAGTTTGAAGTTTCTTTCAAAATAAAATGTTAGGCCGGGTGTGATGGCTCATGCCTGTAATCCCAGCACTTTGGGAGGCCGAGGTGGGTGGATCATGAGGTCAAAAGATCTAGACCATCCTGGCCCACATGGTGAAACCCCATCTCTACTAAAAATACAAAAAAAATTAGCTGGGCATGGTGGTGTGTGCCTGTAATCCCAGCTACTGAGGCAGGAGAATCGCTTGAACTGGGAAGGTGGAGGTTTCGGTGAGCCAAGATCACACCATTGCACTCCAGCCTGGTGACACAGCAAGATTCCATCTCAAAAAAATAAAAATAAAATAAAAATAAAACCAAATAAAATGTTAAAAGTATAAATTTATATCAAGTATTGGTAAGGATGTGGAGAAATGGAAATTTTTATACTCTGATAAAAGAAATGCAAATTATGGTACAATTCTTGGAGAGTAATATGATTTAATATTATATTGATATACTATTAATATAGTATGATGATGATGATATGATAGTAATATAAGTAGTGGTCAACATATCTATGCCTTATACCTTAGCAATTCAAATGGGATATTGGAAGAAAATAGTAGAAGTTTGTATTTATCTTTTAAGGAAAAATTTACATTTTATAATGGATATTACATGTTAATACAATAGGACATTTATATAATTTATAAATAGAGTCATACTGAGGATAAGCAGTTAAGCTTTTTTATTGATAAGGCAACCTAATCAGCAAAGCAGGAGACCACTCCCCTTAAGAAATTTAAGTGTACATGAGATTATATGTAAGAATATTAATTGCAGCATAATTTGTAATGGCAAGACTTTGGAAACATTTTAAATATTCTTCGGTAAAGGAATGCAGAAACAAATTGTGTTTTATTAATATAATGGGATGTTAAATAGCAGTTAAGATGAAGCAGAGCTATAAGTACAGGTTTAGAAAATGCTGAGTGAAAAAATCAAGTCACAGAACTGTAAGTCTATTCATGTAAATTGTCTTATTCAGTTGGCTGTTCCAACAAAGTACCCCAAACTGGGGGGCTTATAAACAACAGAAATTTATTTCTTAAAATCCTGAAGGCTTAGAAGTCCAAGATCAGGGCACCAGCAGAGTCAGGGTCTGGCAAAGGTCTTCTTCCGGCCTGCAGCCTGCTGCTGACTTCTAATTGCATCACAACGTGGCAGGAGAGCTAGCAGTTCTTGGACCTCTTCTTGTAAAAGGCACTAATTTCAATCGAGAGGTTCCACTCTTCAAACCGGATCGCCTCCCACAGGCCCCATCTTCAAATATTATCCCACTGGGATTAGGACTTCAACATGTGCATTTTAGGGTGGACACATTTAGTCCATTGCCTAAATTTGGGCACAGAGAAAGACATGAATCGAAGGAATGCAACGTTGGAGAGACATGGGGAGAAGGTGCCCGTTAACAAAGCCAAGGGGAGAGGCCTGGAACGGACTCACCCTCACAGCCCTCAAAGGGAGCCAACTTTGAGGACACCTATCTCAGACTTCTAGCCTCCAGAACTGAGAGGCGAAATTTCTGTTAAGTCACCCAGCTTATAGCACTTTCTTATTATAGCCCTAGCAAACGGATACACTTACCACTTGGCAATTGTTATTTTTTAAAAAGTATGTTTTTAACCAGAGGAAAAAAAAACCCCTTCTTCCCTAAAAAGTATAAAATGAGGAACTAGAAGGGGTGAAGCTGATCTGCTATTTATAGACTATCCTTACATATTTTAATACTAAAGGTAAAAATTTTATCTGTTATCAGAAGTTTTTGTTTAATAAACCTGGTGGGTCAGTGTTACTGAGCAAGGGAAAACAATTTCCATGTGCTCAGAAAAGCACTTTGTATTTTCCTAATTAAGGATAAGAAAGACAATTCCCAAGTTTCCTTCGGAGAAGACTGGGGCAATAAACATAATTAACTCTAAGAGGTTTAATAATAAATCATCAAATCTCATGAGCATAATAAATGCAACTAGGGAATTATTTTAATATAGTCTCAATATAATCATCACAAATTCAACTTCAGAGCAGTGTGAATTACAAATATAATGTGGATATTTTCTTGGCATAGATCTCAGGCCATGCTATTTTTAAGGTCATTTGTTTTTGGAAAGAGAAGGGGCAAAATAATATATAACCTTAGTTCTGTTGACAGAATTTCAGCAGAAGTAACAGCGTCCTCCCGCAAACTCTTGATGATACCTTCCCAGATAAAAAATATGAAGCTGAATAAAGCACAGAATATGATTATGGCCCATGAAAAAACTTCAAGAGCACCTGTAAAATTCTGCAATCACATACACAGGTTTCTCTTGTTAGAAACATGCTGGTCTCTCTCATTCCCAATAGCGTCTTGCTCTGATATTGTAAGCCTTTAGCGTTTGGAAGTTCTTGTCCTTGCATATTCAGAACAGTGCCTGGGATATGCATTTGATAAATGTCAACTAATGAATAGGGTGAGACACTAACAGTTTGATATGAATCCATATTTATTGGATCTCATAAGCCCAAAGCAAGCTGATGGGGTTAGGGTGGGGGCAGCAGGGTTGCCACCAAAAGAAACATCCCAGAACTCGATAGTAGTACAGTGGAAAGATCCGTACTTGGAGGAAAGATACTGGAACTTTCTAGGGGAGTTGATATGTTGGCTGAATTTCGAAGGTAAAATACGAATTAGGAAGGTAAAGGAGTATTATATACAAAGAGATATAAGAAAGCAAGATGAGTCTGGAGAGACTGTCATTTGACCTGACTAGAAGGTAAGTTGAATAATGAGAGGTGACTGAACAGGTGGACAAAGGGGGTGTGGCAGATGGCCTTTTCTTCAGTTATAGTTTCAAATCCTATGAAGAAAGCTGTTGGCTTTCTATCCACCGCATCTCTTACTTCTTCTTATTAGAGTTAGGTGTGCTTTTTTCAAAGACAAACTCTCCCTTCCTTTGCTTCTTCCAGTTTTCAACTGAAGATGTGGAGACCTCTCCTCACAGATGTGTTTTGAAAATTTAAAAGCATTTTAGACAGCAACCCAAGTAAATGAATTACTTAAGACAAGACACAGACCTTTTTAATTGCTTCAAAGAAAGTAACATACTGGGTGAATTGTCAGGTATTTATCCAGATCTTCCTTCTGCACAACTTCTGCTCCAAAGACTATGCATTTAGTAATAATAGAAAACGTTATTAGTAATAGTTAGATTAATACCAAAATTTAGTAATAATTTCGAAATCTCTAGTTTGAACGACTCATGAGGAAATCACAAATTACTACACATCTCTAACTGGTGGCATTTACATGCCAGCTGTGGTCTATTATTTGGTGACATGTGGGGGCTGCTTCTAGGTGGTTTGAGGGGCTTCTATGACCTGAATATATCAAGGATAAGAGGATGTGACCAGCCCGTCTGGGGGTAAGGGGAAGGTGGCAGAGGTGAGGAATGGGAGCAGCAAAATCTAAGTGCAAAGGATTTATTCTCTCTGCTTACGGATCTTTCCGCATGCCCCGCACTGACCCCCAATTCTGCTTTCCAGTGAGCAGCCCATGGGGTAGCTGCCTGTAGGTACCTGGAGCAGCGCCAGGTCAGAGCGCGGGAGGCAGAAGCAGCGCAGGCCCCCTTACAAGGCGGGCCCCGGACTCCCCGATCCTGCCCGGAATGAGCTCCCGGATCCTCCCTCCTCGGCTGGGCGTCCGGTTCCCGCGCGCTCCCAGAGGCCACAAGGGGGCGGCGCCTGGCCCAGCCAGCGGGCAGAGGGTGCCGCAGCGACTCCCGGGCGTGGGGTGCCCTCTGCCAGCTCCGCGCCCTGCCCCCGCCGGCCTCCCGGCGTCCCACCGGATAGCGGCTGCCCTGCGGGCGGCGGCGGAGTTCCGGAGCCAGGCCAGCGCTACTTCGCTCTCTTCGCTGCCCCGCCCATTCGCTGTGAGGAAAGGCACTGCGACCCAGGCCCCGCCCCCTGAGCTGACAGATAAGCCTCCTGGCCAACCAGACTTCGCATTTTCCTCTAGATTTGGTTCCAGGTCCCCGCCCCAGCCTTGAGCCCGCTTCCACACCGCCCCCGAAGCCCCGCCCCCTGGCCTGACAGATAAGCCTCCTGGCCAACCAGACTTCGCATTTTCCTCTAGATTTGGTTCCAGGTCCCCGCCCCAGGTTTGAGCCCGCCTCCACACCGCCCCCGCAGCCCCGCCCCCTGACCTGACAGATAAGCCTCCTGGCCAACCAAACTTCGCATTTTCCTCTAGGTTTGGCTCCAGGTCCCCGCCCCAGCCTTGAGCCCGCCTCCACACCGCCCCCGAAGCCCCGCCCCCCGGCCTGACAGATAAGCCTCCTGGCCAACCAGACTTCGCATTTTCCTCTAGGTTTGGCTCCATGTCCCCGCCCCAGCCTTGAGCCCGCCCCCGCGCCGCCCACGCAAACGCACTCTGCGGCGCTGCTTTGCCTGCAGCCCGCCTCGGGGGAAAGTGAGCTCCGGGGGAGGAAGCCGCCGGCGCCCGCAGCAGGAGTGCGCGGAGTGCCGGGAGTGCCGGGCGGGAGGGGCGGGCTCAGGAGAAGGCGGACTAGCCCCTTCTCTGCCCACCTTCAGTCCAGCCAGGCAGAAGTAAAAGAGGGAGTGGGTGTTACGTAAGGAAAGCACCGGGGCGGGTTAGGTTAAGGTTTGTTGGAGGAACTGAGGCCGGAAGGAGGGAATTGGCTCTGCCAGAGGCAGGGGGTGCCCAGGGGCGGGGACAGAGTGCCAGTGAGGGAAGGAACGGCCTCGGTGAAAGGATCACCACGGGTTCCGGAAACTCAACATTTTTTTAACCAATACGGCTGGCGCATAGAGTCGTCCAGCAAGAGGTAAAGCTGGGCAGATCCTAGAAGACTCTAGAGGTTCACGCTTTAGGCTTTGGAAGCGGAAAGGTGGCATGATCAGATCTACGTTTCATAAAGGTCACCCAGTGCAGAGTGCTGGGAGGAGATCAGACCAGAGGCAGGGGAATGAGAAGACTGGCATGGACGCACAGGACAGATGATAGTGTGTGGACTAGGATGGGGCAGTGAGGGCGAAGAGAGAGAGGGTGGATTGGGAAGTTTTGTTTTTTTGTTTTGTTTTGAGATGGAGTCTCGCTCTGTCGCCAGGCTGGAGTGCAGTGAGTGGCACGATCTCGGCTCACTGCAACCTCCGCCACCTGGGTGCAAGCGATTCTCCTGCCTCAGCCTTTAGCTGGGACTAAAGGCGCAAACCACCACACCCGGCTAATTTTTGTAGTTTTAGTAGAGACGGGAGTTTCACCATGTTGACCAGGATGGTCTCTATCTCTTGAATTCGTGATCCGCCCGCCTCGGCCTCCCAAAGTGCCGGGATTACAGGCCCACCGCGGCCAGCCTGAAAGATGTTTTGCACATAGAATTAACACATTTTGGATGAGGTGGCAGGGTAGGTGAGAAAGGTGGAAGTGTAAAGATGATGTATTTCTGGCATCAACAAAGTCAATGGTGACCATAATTATCTCTCTCCTCCATATTTTCACCACTTTCATAGCTGTTACCTTTCTGCCTTGAGTGATTCTCCTTTTCATAGAGAATTCATTGCTGTCCCAGATTAGAGGTTCCTTGAAGAAATGGACATCTTCAGGTTTTCTTTTGCTTGATTGTACCACAAATTACCCATTTAATCATTTGCTGAATGATCCAATGAATGAATGGCCTCAAGGTTTTATTCCTCAAAACTAAAAACTCTGTTAGAAAGGCCAGTGCTCAAGACGTACATTTACAGTCATGTGCCCATACTGACATTTTGATCATCGATGGACCACAAAAATGACATTGGTCCTATAAGATTATAATGGAGCTGAAAAATTCTTATTAGCTAGTGACAAAGCCATTGTAACATTGTAGCACAATGCATTATTCACATGTTTGTGGTGATGCTGGTGTAAAAAAACCTACTGCTGCTAGTCATATAAAAAGATAGCATCCATGACTATGTACAGTACATAATACTTTATAATGAGAATAAATGATTGTTGTTACTGGTTTATATATTTACTGTATTATGCTTTTTATCATTATTTTACAGTGCATTCCTTCTACTTATAAAAGTAAGTTAACTGTCAAACAGCCTCAGACAGGCTTTTCAGGAAGTATTCTAGAAGATGGCATTGTCATCGTAGGATATGACAGCTCAGGGTGTTATTGCCCCTGAAGACTTTCCAATGAGACAAGATGTGGAGGTAAAAGTGACACCAATGATCCTGACTCTGTGTAAGCCTAGGCTAATGTGTGTTTGTGTGTTTGTGTCTTTTTTTTTTGATGGAATTTTGCTCTTCTTGCCCAGGGTGGAGTGTAATGGCATGACCTTGGCTCACCACAACCTTCACCTCCTAGGTTCAAGTGATTCCCCTGCCTCAGCCTCCCCTGTAGCTGGGATTACAGGCATTTACCACCATGCCTGGCTAATTTTGTACTTTTTAGTAGAGGCAGGGTTTCTCCATGTTGGTCAGGCTGGTCTTGAACTCCCGACCTCAGGTGATCCACCCACCTCGGCCTCCCAAAGTGCTGAGATTTTACTTGTGAGCCACTGTGGCCCATCTGTGTCTGTGTTTAACAAAAAAGTTTAAAAATTAAAAAATTAAGATGCAAAAAGCTTATAAGAATAAGGATATAAAAAATCGTTTTATATATCTGTACAGTGTATTTATGTTTTAAGCTTATAAAAGAGACAATTTTTTTAAGTTTTTAAAGAAAAATATGGTAAGCTAAGGTTATTGAAGAAAGAAAATATTTTAAAATAAATTTAATGAAACATAAGTGTACCGTGTTTATGAAGTCTATGGTAGTGTAAAGTAATTTTTCTAACAAAAGAAATGTATGCTGTTCACAGAATATTAAAAAGACTAGAAGAGAAGGAATCACTTTTCTGATATGAGTCAGTATTTGATCTTACATCATGTTATCACAATAAAATAGAATCAAGATTGACTCACCCTAGCATTATCCAAAGACCATGGATTTGGGGGCTAGGAGCCTTGGGTTTGAATATTGGCTCTATCCCAAACTATCTGGGTAATTCTGGACAAGTGAGGAATTCCTTGAGACTCAGTGTTAGTTTCTTAGGGCTGCTGTAACAAAGCATCAAACATTTCATCGAAGGCTTTTTCTGCATCTATTGAGATAATCATGTAGTTTTTGTCTTTGGTCCTGTTTATGTGATTGATTACATTTATTGATTTGTGTATGTTGAATCAGCCTTGCATCCCAGAGATGAAGCTGACTTGATCGTGGTCAGTAAACTTTTTGATGTGCTGCTGGATTCAGTTTGCAGGATTTTATTGAGGATTTTCATATCAATGTGCATCATGGATATTGACCTGAAATTTTCTTTTTTTGTTACATTTCTGCCATGTTTTGGTATCAGAATGATGATGGCCTCATAAAATGAGTGAGGGAGGATTCCCTCTTTTTCTATTGTTTGGAATAGTTTTAGAAGGAATGGTACCAGCTCCTCTTTGTATCTCTGGTAGAACTCAGCTGTGAATCTGTCTGTGCTTGGACTTTTTTTGGTTGATAGGCTGTTAATTGCTGCCCCAATTTCAGAACATGTTATTGGTCTATTCAGGGATTTGACTTCTTCCTGGTTTAGTGTTGGGAGGTTGTATGTGTCCAGGAATCTATCCATTTCTTCTAGGTGTTCTAGTTTACTTGCATAGAGGTGCTTATCATATTCTCTGATGGTAGTTTGTATTTCTGAGGGATCGGTAGTGATATCCCCTTTTCATTGTATCTATTTGAGTCTTGGCTTTTTTCTTCTTTATTAGTTTGGCTAGCGCTCTATTTTGTTGATCTTTTCAAAAAACCAGCTCCTGGATGCATTTTTTTTTTTTTTGAGGGTTTTTCATGTCTCTGTCTCTTTCAGTTCTGCTCTGATCTTAGTTATTTCTTGTCTGCTGCTAGCTTTTGAATTTGTTTCCTCTTGCTTCTCTAGTTCTTTTCATTGTGACATTGTGGTGTCAATTTTAGATCTTTTCTGCTTTCTCTTGTGGGCATTTAGTGCTATAAATTTCCCTCTACATACTGCTTTAAATGTGTCCCAGAGATTCTGGTATGTTGAGTTTGTTATTACCCAACTTCTGAAGCCTTCTTCTGTCAATTTGTCAAACTCATTCTCTGTCCAGTTTTGTTCCCTTGCTGGGGAGGAGTTGTGATCCTTTGGAGGAGAAGAGGCATTCTGGTTTTTGGAATTTTCAGCTTTTTTGTGCTGGTTTCTCCCCATGTTTGTGGATTTATTTACCTTTGGTCTTTGATGTTGGTGATCTTCGGATGGGGTTTCCGAATGGACATCTTTTTTGTTGATGTGGATATTATTCTTGTCTGTTTGTTAGTTTTCTTTCTAAGAGTCAGGTCCCTCTGCTGCAGGTCTGCTGGTGTTTGCTGGAGGTCCACTCCAGACCCTGTTTGCTTGGGTTTCACCAGCAGAGGCTGCAGAACAGCGAAGATTGCTGCCTGTTCCTTCCTCTGGAAGCTTCATCCCAGAGGAGCACCTGCCAGATGTCAGCCAGAGCTCTCCCGTATGAGGTGTCTGGCAGCTCCTACTGGGAGGTGTCTTCTGGTCAGGAGACATGGGGGTCAGGGAGCCACTTGAGGAGGCAGTCTGTCCCTTATCAGAGCTCAAACACTGTGCTGGGAGATCCATTGCTCAGGCAGGGACATTTAAGTCTGCTGAACCTGCACCCTCAGCCGCCTGTCCCCCAGGTGCTGTCCCAGGGAGATCTGCCTTTTTTCAGAGATGCCCTGCCCAGAGAGGAGGAATCTAGACAGACAGTCTAGCCACAGAGGTCCTGCTGAGCTGTGTTGGGCTCTGCCCACTTTGAACCTTCCAGCAGCTTTGTTTACACTGTGAAGGAAAAACCACCTACTCAAGCCTCAGCAATGTGGGTGCCCCTCCTCCCCCAAACTTGATTGTCCCAGGTTGACCTCAGACTGCTGTGCTGATAGCAAGAATTTCAAGCCAGTGGATCTTAGCTTTCTGTGCTCCATGGGGGTGGGACCCACCGAGTCAGAACACTTGGCTCCCTGGCTTTAGCCCCCTTCCAGGGGAGTGAAGGGTTCTGTCTCACTGGCATTCCAAGTGCCACCAGGGTATGAAAACAAAAACAAAAACAAAAACAAAACTCTTGCTGCTAGCTTGGTATCTGCCCAAATGGCCACCCAGTTTTGTGCTTGAAACCCAGGACCTTGGTGGTATAGGCACTGGAGGGAATTTCCTGGTCTTCCAAGTTGCAAAGACCATGGGAAAAGGGCAGTATCTGGACCAGAATGTACCATTCTTCCCATTATAGTGTCTCACAGCTTCCCTTGGCTAGGGGAGAGAAATCCCCTGACTCCTGTGCTTCCCAGGTGAGGTGATGCTCCACTCCCCTTCAGCTCACCCTCTGTGGGCTGCACCCACTGTCCAACCAGTTCCAATGAGATGAACTGGGTACCTCAGTTGGAAATGCAGAAATTAATCCCCTTCCGCATCGATCTCGTTGGGAACTATTCCTGTTCGGCCATCTTGCCACACAGAGTGCCAAATAATGCTTTGAAAGGGTCATCTTACTCCATTTCTTTGCTATAGAGGACAGTTTTTGTCATCTCATTCTGTTTAAATGTCTTCTTTTTCTTGGCTTCTGGAAGATTGCATCTGTCTCTGCTCCTCTTAGTTTTCTTGGGTTTTTTCTTCCTCTACATTCTAATATGGCCCACTGCCTTTCTCTCGTTGCATACCATCGTGAGAATTCTTCCACTCTGATAGTTTCAACCAGTACCTTTATACATAGTCATACACCAGAGACATATAGCTGATTCTGTTCTTACCTGACCTCTTCTTTAATATTTCCAAAGGACTTTGCCTTAAGATGAATATTGAAGAAAAAGTGAAACTATGATGTCAAACTCACAGGTAGAGAGAGGGCATTCTAAGCAGGCAGCTGCAATATCATATGCAGAGATACAGACGTATGAAAGACCAGTGGAAATTGAGAGGGCTATGATAAGTTCACTACTGCTGCAGGGTAAAGTGGAATAGGTGTGGTCAGGATGTGTGAAGAGATGAGAGGTAAGCCTAGGCAGATAGGCAGGAGTCCGTGATAGAAAGGTCTTATTAGCCATGCAGATGGTTTCAAATTTTGCCCTCTGTATGGTAAGCCATTATGGGATTCTGAAAAAAGTAGTGTAATTGGCTCTAAGTTTTAGAAAAAAAAAAAAAAAAAAGTCTGAGACTAAAAGCAGGAGGCCAAGGAAGAAGCTGTGGTAATAATCTAAGTGAAAGATGATGATGGGGTGAACTTGGACAATGGACATGGTTTGGAGAGTAGGTACAATGGGTGTTTCTAAAGTGGAATCAGGAGAATCTGTTGACAAATCAACTAAAAGGGAGGGTAAAAAGGCGGAGTCTAGGATGATGAGTTTTCTGGTTTATGTAACTTGGTAGATGAAAAACAATTCAGCATGATGGATTATAGGAAGTGAAGTGCATTTATTGGAAAAAAATTCATGCATTGATTCATCAGATAGACATTTAAACATTTTCTACATGCTAGATATTATGCCAAGCCCCAGAATAATTTCTAATTGGGACATAACTTTGAGAAGCCTTCAAACATTGCGAGGGAGATGTTTAGCAAGCAGGTAGAGATAGTCATCTAAAGCTCAGCAGACAGGTCTCCATTTTGTTGTTATTATTAATGTTGTCACATATGTTCTTGTGTGTAAATTTTTTCCCAGATGCTTAATTATCCAAAATGTGCAGAAGATATTAGAGAAATGAGAATGGCTGAAATTTATAATCCCTTGCCATGTCATTGATATTACTTTGTTTAATAATATCCTATCAACTCTTTTTCTTATATGATTGACATAGTTTTCCAAAAGGAACAAATGTGCAACTGCACGATTGGGCAGTGTGATATAACTGATTTCTGAAAAATCGATACAGAATCAAAGTTTAAAAATCCTCTTCATAAGCGCTTTTATTACTCTCAGAGAAATTTCCTACCTTCTACAATTTAACATTTTAGTGTTCTTGGACTTAACATTTAGATATGATTACTATTTATATATTATGATAGCATTATTAATAAGTATAATCCTTTTTGGAAGAGGGGAAAAATTTGGGAAGTTGTAAATATATGTACCTTTAAATTCAGTAATTCAACTTTTTGAAAATTCAACTACTCTAAAATAATCTAAGCAGTAGAAAAAGCTGTGTGCATGACGATGTTTATCACAGCTTTATTTGTAGCTTTTAAAGGAAAAGAGATAACCTTGGTGTCCATGGGAATAAATTATAGTTATTTTATGTGCAGCCATTAAAATTATGGTTGGAATATTATAGAGAGACATGAAAAGTATATATGATAGAATGTTAAAAGAGACAATTCAGGAGAAAATTTTAAATAGACTATAATTATAATCATGGAAAAAATACACATGAAAAATAATGTAAGTATATTGCCAAAATGCTAACAATAGTTACATTTGGATGGGGAAGTTATTGTTTGTTTGTTTGTTCCCAAGTTATCTGCATATCGGAGATTGATCATTTTCATTTTTCCATGAATTACTTGTCCTTTCTCTAGTAAAATCACCCTGACTCAACAAAGGGAACCACAGGTTCCTTCTCTGAGTTTATATGGTTTCAGTGGGGTTGACTCCACCCTTGCCAGAGACAGCCCAAGCCAAGATCATCAAAAGCAATTAGACCCAATTGTAGGACTTCCACTGAAACTTTAGGAAAAGATGCAAGTTATTTCTAAAGCTGGTAAGAGGATAGAGTGGAAGCCTGGAGCTGTGTGTAGCCATGTAATTACAGTGAGGGTACAATCTGTCTGTGAAAGGAGCCAAGACAAAGGAACACAAGGACAAGAGATGACAACAAGCAGACTGGGTTCTGAGAACACTGTTTGAGCCCCAGGACCTAACTGTGTCTGATATGAAATTATCCATGGAATGTTCAGTTATGTGAGCCTACAGCTTTATTTTGGCTTCAGTCAGTCTGTATTTTTTCTCTTTTAATTGCAACAAAAAGAGTAGTAATTGATCAGATTATGTCACCTTTTTGTTATTAAAAAAAGCATATGCATCAGAAGCATTCCAAACCATCCTACACACTCTGAAGTTTATACTCATTTCTTGACCTGCACAAGAAGCATAGGTGAAATACTGATTTTTAACTTCAAGATTCCAGAAATTCCAGAAATCTTGACTCAGCCCAGTCACGTTGCCTTCATAAAGTGACTGAAGGTTTTAAGCAGAGGGAACAAAGTAATACAGAAGGACTTTATTGTTAATTGGGCTAGTATTTGAGAATTACGGTAATATGTACTTTTTGTTTTGTCTCTCCAGAACCCGTCCCTTGTTCTGCTGACAGCATTCTCTACTTTCTTTGGAAACTATTTCCTTGCCCAGCTATGCCAGGGATGGGCAGATTGTGTAAATGTGATCATTCAGGACTCTTCTGAGATTTTCCAAATAGAAATTAAGGAAAAAGACGATTTTTCCTGAAGTCGACGCAGAAAGATGCTAGTGCCCATGACTCCAGCCTTCTAGGGGATGCTGGTTTGAGAGAATGAAGCCCTCTTCCTGAGGAAAGCAGAGGCAAGATATAAAGTCCAAATGGTAATTTATTCCATTCTAATAAGTCTCCAAGAATAGCTATATTCCCATCCTTAGCATTATTTGATATATGAGCCAATAAATTTTCCCCCATTGATGAAGGTACTTCCCACTAGATTTGTTCACTTGCATCTGAGAGTCCTAGCTAAATATATGTCTAATCCAGTGCCCTAGTAAACCTAGGAAGGGACATGTAGCCTGACCTAAATGTCACTTTAAATCTATTCTTCCCTAAACGTAGAGATCTTGGGACCTTGCCACTTTCTAGTCAGTGGTATGTTGTTGGAGTTAAAGCCAAGGATTTTTACTTTGTATATGAATGAGGAAGATAAAAGATACTGCAAGATGGCAAGGCATGTTTTGAAGCAGGAAGTTCTAAATCAGCTTACCCACTTAAGTGAGGAGTAACAGAGAGAACAAGATGGCCAGTCATCTGTTAGGAGGCAGCTCCTTAGCTGTAAAGAAAAAGGAAATAAAAGAGAGTATCTACATGGCACTGAAAAGTGAAGGAAGCAACCACTAGGAAATGTGGTTCAATCAATGATTTGAAACTCACCTGGATTAGCAATTTCTCTCTCTTGGAAAGGGGAGAAGAGCAAAAATATAGTGGAAGGAAAAATGAGAGTTGAGAATAGGACAGAAGTTGCATGTTGGTTGAGTACTAGGAGAGTTTTACAAAGATATACTACTATTCCAGTTTTTTAAAAACAAAAGGAATGCTTGCCAAAATATTCAATCATCAAAGACAAAGTATGGAAGTATATTATTCATGATTTCTCATTGATTTTACACTTCTCAAATGAACAGCTAAGTTTGAAGCTCTAAGGAAAAGAAAACTTCATATAAGACCTGACTAGCCAGGTACGTATATTGAAATTCAATCTTTTCATAACACAAATCAATAATAATGATTCTTACTTTTTTCTAATATGAAACAAAATGCACAAAATTTTAGTTGTCATCAGCAGTGTTATAGAAATTAGCAAATGCAAGAAAAATATGAAAATATTATTAATATTTATAAATTTAGAGATGCTATTTATATCATATCCCTTTGAATTTGATGGTAATATATAAGAGTGAGTTAATGTGGACTAACAGCTTTGAACATGAAATACATTTGCTTCAAAGTCAAAGCAATTTTTCTAAAAGGACGAACTAGTTTTGCAAATGTACATGCAAATTTTAGAGGGATCTGATGTCTTGGTACATGATTCAGTTATTGGAAAACTTCTAAGTAAAACTTCTAAGTATGTTTGAAACAACTTGGGTATATAAATCTATTTTTTCAACTCTAAATTTTATGAAATCTGACTATAAGTATTTGTGATGAAAATTTAGCATCTGCACTGAGATGTGCTATAAATGTAAAATATATACCAGATTTCAAAGACTTAGTATGACAAAAAGAATGGAAAATATTGCAGTATTAGCCCTGAATTTCTCAAGCGTTCATTTGGAAATTATTTAGCCAATGAACCTTCACTGGAAAAAAAATGACGAACATGGAGGAAATATTCATGAAGTGACATATAGAAAAACATTCTCACTAATAATCAGAAAGATGCACAGTAAAACAGTGATGATTACTCTTTTTTGGATCTTCAAATCAGCTGTGTATATACCCTAAATATTCATGTTCTAGTTTATAAGCATGAGCCACTGATTCCAGCTTTAGTTCAGGGGAGTTGCCTGGGAATTCACAGCTCTTTTTTTTTTCTTGTCTGGAAGTCTTTACCAGAGCCATGAGGCAAAAGAAAGAAACAAGACATCTAGATAGAAAAGGAAAAGGTGAAATTGTCACTGTTTCTTGATGACATTTTCTTATATATAGAAAGATCCTAAAACTTAATAAAAATCTATTGAAACTAATAGATTCAATATAGTTGCAGCGTAAAAAACCAACACACACAAATCAACATTTCTATACATTAACAACAATCTATCTGAAAAAGAAATCAAGAGAACAATCCCATTTACAATAGCCACCAAAAACAAAAAACAAACAAACAAAAAAGCTTAGGAATAAATTTAACCCAGGAGAAGGGCCTAGACACTGTAAACTATAAAATGTTGATGAAAAAACTGAAGACACAAATGGAAAGATACCCCTTCCAATCACTTCATAGATTGGAAGAATTAATGTTGTTAAAATGTCCATACTACCCAAAGCAATCTACAGATTGATAAGCAATCCCTATCAAAATTGTCATTTTTTAATAGAATAGAAAAGATAGTCCGAAACTGGTATGGAACCAGAAAAATTTTGAATAGTCAATGCAATCGCTAACAAAAAGAACAAAGCTGGAGGCAACACAATACCTGATTTTAAACTATACTACAAAGCTATGGTAATTTAAACAGGTTGGTACTGCCAAAAAAATATACATACTGACCAGTAGAACAGAATAGAAACCCAAGAAATGTCTGCATGTGTGTAAGGTCAATTGGTTTTCAGAAAAAAAAGAAAAAAAGTCAAGAATACACAATGAGAAAAGGATAGTCTTTTCAATAAAAGATTCTTGTAAAAACCTGACATCTACATACAGAATCATTAAATTGGACCCTTACATTATATGCAAAAATCAACTCAAAATGGATTAAAGACTTAAATGTAAGACTTGAAATTATAAAACTACTACAGGTTGAGTATTCATCATTCAAAATGCTTGGGACTGGAAGTGTTTGATATTTTATTTTATTTTTATTCCGGACTATTTGCATTATATTTAATGGTTGAGCATCCCTAACCCAAAAATCCAAAATCCAAAATACTCCAATGAGAGTTTGCTTTAAGCATCATGCCAAAACTAAAAAAGTTTTAGATTTTGGAGCATTTCAAATTTCAGATTTTTAGATTGGGGATACTAAATTTATAGAATAAAATATAAGGGAAGAACTACATAACTGATCCGGGAAATAATTTTTTGGAATTTTTTTAACCACCAAAGCTCAGGCAATGAAACCACCAATAGACAAATGGGACCGTATCAAACTAAAAAGCTTCTTCACAGCAATGAAAACATTTAGCAGTGTAAAGAGACAACCTATGGATTGGGAGAAAATATTTGCATGCCATACATCAAATAAGGGGTTAATACTCAAAATATATAAGGAACTCAATAGCAAGAAAACAAAACAAACAAACAAAACTAAAAATGGGCTAGGGATCTGAATAGACATTTCTCAAAAGAAGATATATAAATGGCCAACAGATATATGAAAAAAATGCTCAATATTGCTCATTATTAGGAAAATTCAAATTAAAATTTCCATATCACACACCTGTCAGAATGGCTATTATCCTAAAAGCTGAAAGAGAACAAGTGTTAGGAAGGTTTGTAGAAAAAAGGGTTGCCCTTGTATACAATTGGTAGAAATATAAATTAGTACAGTCTTCTTGGAAAACTGTATGACGTTTCCTCAAAAATCTAAAAATATAATGACCATATAACCTAGCAATTCCACCTCTGGGTATTGATTCAAAATATTTGAATCACTTTGTCAAAAACATGTCTGCACTCCCATGTTCCTTGTACTACTATTCAATATAGCCAAATTATAGAATTAATCTAGATGTTTATCAACAGATAAATGGATTAACAAAAAATGGCATACACACACACACACACACACACACACACACACAGTGGAATACATTTCAGCCTTAAAAAAAGATTCTGGCATTTATGACAATTTAGAATTGGGAAATAGAATATAATTCTGTCCTTTGTGACAATATGGAATTGGGAAACATGCTAAGTGAAATAAGCAGGCACAGAAAAACAAATACTGCATGTTCCCACTTATATGTAGAATCAAAACAACTGAATTCATAGAAGCAGAGAATACAATGGCGGTTACAGAGGCTGAGGGGTGAGGAGAATGTGGAGCTGATGATCAAAGAGCAGAAAATCTCAGGTGAAAAAAAAGTAATTTTTTTTTGAGTGCTATTGTAGAGTATGATAAATATTAGTTAATAATAGTGTATTCTACATTTCAAAACTGCTAAGAGAGTAAATTTCAAATGTTCTCACCAAGAAAAATATTTGAGGTGATGTTAATAAGCTTGATTTAATTATTGCACATTATATTCATGAATCATAATATCACATTGTACCCCAAAATATATGCATTTGTAAATGTCAATTAAAAAAATTGAAAAGAAAGATACTTTAGGTTTGACATGAACCTATGGTGGGCTCCCCTCCCTACCCCACAGAAAGAAACTAGATATTTGTCTACTAATAAGTGAGGAAAACTGCATGTTTATAGGGAAGTGAGGTTGGCATGTTACTGTTATGAAATCTGCTGGGTGTCTTGGATAGCATCTTGCTGGAGAAAGGACTCCTAGTCAAGTTTTAGACCTAAATCTGCTCCTAAGATACTTTGCCCTGGAAAAATCACTGATGTCCCTAAGTCTCTTTTCTACAATTTGAAAATTGGTCAATAAAAGAGCTGTGCTTCAGAGTCCCTTTCAGGTCTAGCATCTTAAAATTATGTAATTTGTGGATTACAGTATTTTCAGAAAACATAAGTACTTTTCCTCTATATGGGGCCAACATCCATAATTCTCAAACATGATTATTAAAGAATATAAAATAGGGGGAAAAAAAGATTACATGGCTATTTTAAGGGTCTATTAGCATAACTCCATGAGGCATTTTGGTAAGTGAACTTGTATAGTTCTGCAGCTTTAACTTCAAGAAAGTTTTCAGACCAAGCTGTATCAGCCTTGGAGAGAAGGTGTGGCTGGAGGAGAAAATGAGTACTATGTCTAAGCCTCTGTACACCGCACGGAACTCGGAAGTGATGTTATACTTTGTCTGGGGCAGAGATTGATGAGATGCACCTACTCAAATGAAGACAAATCCTGATTAGTCTAAGGGCAGAATTACTGGAGGGGATTAATCAAGCTTCACATGACCTTCACTCATTTGGATTTAGCAACATCTCTGCTTCCTTACCCTCTTCTCC